TCTCCCCCCCCCCCCCTTCCCTCTCTTCCCCTCATTCTCTGGGGACATTTGTTAATTAGTTTTGGCTTTTATTCTACTTGCTGGATCATGGAAATGGTCTGATTTAGTTCTTTGAATTTTCACTGGAGTAGTGTCAAACATTATTTTGTCACCTAAATCTGGATGATATATACATTCACTTTGCACCTATATTTATACCCTATGTACAATTATTCCTCTGTTTGCATGAGCTGACACTTGTGGTTTTGATTATTTGCAAGCTTGTACATTGTCTCAGCCTCCTGAAGATGGGACTGCCCTGACTTCAGGAGGTGAGCAGAAGGGCTGATCAGGAGGCAGGTGGGACACATGTTTCTCTTTCACAGGATACCTCCCCTTCTTTGCTCAGGCAAAATAGATACTCAGTAGCATGCAGGAAGAAGAGGAGTCAGCCCTACACACCACTTGGTGTGTGCCATGAATGTGTTTTTTCCACACAAAGGAAGGGGGATAGTGGGGTCAACAGAAACACGTGGCATACAAGAAGAGAAAAGAGAACAAGATGATGATGATGATGATGATGATGATGATGATGATGATGATGATGATATAGTGAATTCATTACCCACCTTTCCCTGTAACTCAGGGCAGGGTACAACATTATTAAACCAAGAGATAAAACACTATTAAGAGCTATACAACAAGATACATAGAGTTCAAATATAAGTTAAAATTCACTAATAAAATGCAGATTAAATTTCACAACTTTAAATTGATTGGGTCTGCTGGGTATCTGATGTTGCTGGTGCCCATGGGACTAATTCCTCCTTCTCTTCCTGTGTGCAAGATGTGAAACTCTTTAATTTCCGTGTGTTCCTGTAGAGAGGACAAAACCGCTACAATGCTCTGTTTGATTACTTAAGGATTTGCCCGTATTCTTTTGGGAAATATTAGTGGTGAAAATAGGCTGGGGTGAGGACTTGAAAGCAAAATGTGAATTTGGGGAAGATTAGTTAAGGAACACATGGCTTTTTGATGCTCAAATGCTGCCTGCAGGATTTGCAGCATGCTTATTTTGTTTTATTTACAGTATTTCAATTGCATGTCATGTTGTAAGATATAGTATGAGAGAGTTAGAAGGAGGCTCATGAGCCATCAAGTCCAATCAAGATCTCTTAAAATAAAATCAATTAGAACAGTTTAAAATAAAAATTACAAAAAACCCACATTCAAACTACATGACAATTTGGGGAAATAATGACCCCCCCTACATTGAAACCAAAGGCCTTTCAAAGTCATAGATTCTTGGGCAAATTACAGATCAGGGCATAGGCTCAAAACTACTGGTGCAGTAAATGTGTTTGCAGGCCATCTCTCTAAAGGTTTTAACAGGCATTGCCACTGTGCTTGCCATTGGCAAGATGTGAAATTCCCCAGAGTCAGTGCTAGCTGGGTAGAAAAGTTGTATCCTTTGCTGACTTTCAAGTCTTGTTTTCACCTTGCCTGATGATCATCATCTTCTCTTTTTGGCTGCTGTTAGAAAGGGACATGATCACTGAGTTGACAAATCAATTTTTCTGTCTGCTTCTTGGTGACTAGAAAGGGCCCTCTGGCATCTTCCCCTTGCCTGCCTTCCCCCTTTTCATGTCACATTTTTCAGGGTTATGGAGAAGCTGATGCCTCAATGCGTTTTCTCCTTAATCCAGATGACAACCCTGTTGGAACTGACATTGCTTTTCTGTTGCAATGAATGTCCTTCTTAGACTATAAAGACAACTGGCAGCATTTCTTCTCCCTCCCCCATGTTGCCAGTCCACAGAAAGACTGTAGGGTTGGCTGATCGTGCTTTACCTTTATGTTCTGTGTATCTCATCAAAACAGGAGAGTTCTTTGCTTTTGGTCATTAATCCTGCCCCCTTTTGCGAATATCTCCTTCTCCTTTACATCTCATGTGAAATGTTTTGCACCGGGAAGCCTCAACTTTACTTTAAAACAATTCACTGAACTGTATTATCTGGTTGTTTATTCTAAGTTTGGTATTAGTGCCTGGGAATTTTAAAGATAAGTGTTTGTATACAGATTTATTAAACCTAAAAATCATTCATAGCTCCAAATTATTTTGGGATTGGCACCCTTGATTCAGAGGAACATCTTGGAACAATCTTTTGAAACTGAGGAATATCCTGAGACAGGAATTACTAGCATGTATATATTTAGAACACACACCTTAAGGGGAAATGATCTCAGGCATGTACAATATATAAGTGTTGCCAGGATGTCTGACATAAAGGAGTCTTATGCCATATAAATATTGTATTTCACAGTGTAATACTCACCCTGAGTCCCTTTGAGGGGAGAGAAATATAAATTATTATTATTATTATTATTATTATTATTATTAATAATAATAAAGTTGCACCCCCAAAATGGTATTGGTATTTTTAAATTGGTATTTTTAGCATTCATTGCATAATAGTTGCACCCTAAGTTCATTCACCCACTCTTGCCCCTTTAGAGTTACAGGGCTTCACTAGGCTGCCAGTCAAGTGAAGCCCCATAGTTCCAATGAAAGGAGAAAGGTGTGCAGGGGAATGCAACTCCAAGGAGGCAGACGTGTTGGGTGAAACCTTACCCCCTTTCCAGGTATGGGGCTACACTCGGTTGGCTACCATGTGAAGCCCCATAGCTGGAATCACCACTGCATAATAGTTGTATCCCTGCTTTTCACTCAAAAAAGAAAGGAAGTGTGACTATTATGTGATGAAATATGATAATACATTTTCACACACAAACAATATTATGTTTTTATTTTATTTTTAAAAACCTATGTTCTTTACCAGTATCATTTAAATATATTTGCTCTATATAGAAAGGGCCATAAAAGTGACATAAACAGTATAAAACAGCAGTAGATGTAATAAAATTAATGAAAGGGGTGGTGGTCCAAATTTGATGCTCTACCATGGGAAAGCTGAAGAAACCAGGACTGCCTATATTTTAGCTAGTAGACCTGCTAAGTAGCTAGGTAGGATTCAATTTGGACAGTTGCTCATGGAACAGATAGATAAAGCTGGTCTTGTTCTGCAGATACACATATTAGATTTCTTCTGTGCTTTTTGATAATGTGTGCCTTTGAAGACGGTAGAATATGTCTGGCCATGGTTGCAAGGATGGCTTCTGTGACACTAATATGTTCTTCGCTGTGTAGGCTGCAAGTACATTTCTGAGGTTGGTTTAGATTGCTGAGACACTTTAAATCCTGAAGTGTTTTGGGTATGATTTACTTAAAATAGCCACTTTCATGAATGTTAGCTTTTTCAAACTGTAAGGTTATCAAGGTAATCTCTAACTCACTTGCCACAAAAGGCAGTTCAGCTGGATAATGGGGAGATATGGCTCTTTCAGTAGCCAACACTCTGGAAAGAGTTTCCATCAGAGTTTCATTAGCCTCCTTCTTTGGAGATGTAGAAGAAACCTCTGAAGGCTGACCTGCTTCTCTTGCCTTCCTATTGAACTGTATTTTTTAGCCATTAGCTTTAATTGTAAAGTTCATGTTTGTAACATGGAACTGGGTTGTCTCAATGTTTTGCATGTTTTACTGTGAGTGACACTCTTTTGGTGGGAGGGAGGATTTTTAAACTATTTCTGATTATGCTTTCTTGTTGGTTCTTATTTTCTCAGTGTATATCTCTAGGAGCCCCCGGTGGCACAGTGGGTTAAACCCCTGTGCCGGCAGGACTGAAGACCGACAGGTCGCAGGTTCAAATCCGGGGAGAGGCAGATGAGCTCCCTCTATCAGCTCCATCTCCTCATGCGGGGACATGAAAGAAGCCTCCCACAAGGATGATAAAACATCAAATCATCCAGGCATCCCCTGGGCAACGTCCTTGCAGACTGCCAATTCTCTCACACCAAAAGCGACTTGCAGTTTCTCAGGTTGCTCCTGACATGACAAAAAAAATGTATTTCTCTGTAGAAGAGCTGCACAAGAAAATGTCTGTTTACTTTTTTAGTCTTTCCTCGAATCCTTCTTAGGTGTCATCTTGGTCTTCTGAACATTGGTAGAATGAGAAATTATAGTTAGATACCAAATACAGGAGAGGAACGTAACCTCAAGACCCCCAGGAAAGTGGCAGCTAACCCTTAGGGATACCAGTGCTGCCTCCTGAATAGTCTTGATTTATTGTAAGCATAGTTTCCACCTCACCAAAACTCTTCCATCTTGTTAGATAAGGTAGGTTGAGAAAGCTGAGGAAGGCAAACTCTTATAATTAGGTAAATGTTTAAAATTGGTTCTTCCCAGTCAACCTTCAGCTATTCTAAACGGTTATAATATCTATGCAAATGTGAAATATTATCCTGAGTGATGACTAGAAGGTTGAACCTAAACTTACAAGGATTATTTTAGGTCATTGGTCCATTTAGGTCTGTATGGTTTGCTCAGGCAGAGAAGTGTTTTTTAATCCTGTTAGTGGAGCTGTGGATACAAGGGGTAAAGCTTGAGATCTTCCATATGCGTCTCTATGGACTTGGTAGGTCTGGATTCAAATTCGGTCTCAGTCATGACCATCTTCTCTGTGCCCAATCTCAGGCGAATAGTTTGTTGGAGCTGTAGCATAATTATGAGGAAGCTTTAAGTAATCAATGTTTTATGTATTGTATTGCCTTACTATTATTTCACTATTCTAGAAATCCATTTTGAGAGAGTGAGAGACAGAAGTTGAGAGTGATGGCTTTTCTAAAGCTACTGTAAGACTTATCTTTGAACCAGGGATTTCCTAATTCATAGCTTATGCACTTAGTCATTATGTAACAGTAGCTGTTGCAAGGTGGCAGCAGTTTCTATGTTACTGAGGTGAAATTTATTTGCAGTGTTTCCAGAAACAACATGTATTGCCGTTTTCATAATTTGCTGGTTTTTATTTGTGGTTGTTCTTTTGTTGTATCTGCTATTTAGTTCAAAACAAGAATCCAGATCAGAGGTTGTTAGCTAATCTTTTCTTTTCTTTTTTGCCCTCCAGATCACCAGAAGCTGGAACGTGAAGCTCGAATCTGTCGATTATTAAAACATCCAAATATTGGTGAGTACTAATACAACATGAATTATTATTATTATTATTATTATTATTATTATTATTATTATTATTAAATGGGAAACATAGGAGTGAATTAACCCCTCATACAAAACCAAGTCACAGGGAGAAGCTGGTAATACATTTATTATTATTGTTGTTATTTTATCGATTCTAAGAAGTACTTTTTTATCCTCATATAAACATCTCAAAAAACCAGATTTGCCGGAACTTTTGAATACATAGAAATACAGCTTTTCCCCCCTTTCAATGGTACTGAAATTAGTGTGTGTCTTAGAAGTGAAATAAAGTATTATTATTATTCTAAGAAAGTAAAGCAGGATATTGTTATTATTACTGATAAAAATACTATCCTTCTTTTAACTTTCTTAGAATATTATTATTGTTATTATTCTAATAAAGTTACACTCTTAGAATAGCACAGCTTAGCAAAGCAGGCTAAACCACTGTGCTGCAGAAAACTCCTGCCGATCAAAAGGTTGACAGTTAGATTCCGGGTCGGGGTGAGCATCCGCCATTAGCCCCAGCTCACCTGCCCACCTAGCAGGTCGAAAGCAGAAATGCGAGAATAGGTACCGCTTTTAGTGGGGAGATAATAAAGGCGTCCTTAAGGACATCAATTGGAGGAAAGCTCCTTGGCGTGAAAGATGGAGCGACAGCACCTCCCCATGGCTGGAGTTGAGCACAGCCTCCAAGATGTCGGAAATAAGATAGGAAAAACTGCTTTTTCTGTACGCTGCTCCAAGTCCCCTTCGGGGTGAGAAGGGTGGGATATAAATAAATAATCCAACATGCTGCCAAAGGCCATAAAGCTTGTTAAAGTTCTCTCTCTTGGACATAGTGAACAGATGTGTACTTCAGCTGCAGCAATCATGTTGTGGACTGTAGTTGTATGGATAGGGGAAGTACTTTGTGCAGAAGAAAAGTCTAGAAAGTCCATTTCTGAGAATAGAGTGTTTGCATCTGCCTTCCTTTTCAACACATATTCCATCAGAGAAAGTATACTGGCCCCTCTCTCTCCGCTCATAGGGCATGGTTTTTTAAATTACCTTTCCAATACTGTATGCCGCAATAGAACCCATTTCTTACATACAGAGCCATTGATGCTCAGCACAAGCTCTTAAGCAGAGAGGACTTATGCCTTGACACATCATGCCTCAAATGTACTCTTGGATCCATCCCCATTCCGTCTCTTGGCTTTGCTCCCTGAGCATCCCTTTAAAGGCTGCATTCAAAAGATCCTGGTCTTTATGCAAAGTCCCAAGCTGCCAGCTCCCCACCCCTTTGACCACTCGCCTTGGAATGCAGCAGAGCTGATAATCTTTAGTTCTCTTCTCTAAATCCCCTTCTCTCTTGCTGGAGTGCCACTCACTCCAGATCTGGGTTTCCATGGTTTTCATCCTGTGAGCAGGTTTATTTCCTCTCACTCAGAGAAACAAGGAGAGGATATAACCACCCACTTGGAGGCTTTGATGCGGGACTAAAATCTAGTGGCAAGATCGTGGGAACAACTTCCGATTGAATGGCGGCGGGAGAAATCTAAAGTTTCGTTCCTAACAAAACGGCTGTTTATCCGATCTGCTGAACAGCAGCAAAATTCTCTTCCCTTAAAGCATGTGGAAATTTGCCCATCATGTGCCCCTCATTGTAGGTCAGCTTTCAAAGCTCTGGAATGCAAAGAGAAAAGACTCATTTTTCTTTTCTGAAAAAGACCACCTCAGTTTGAATACCCTTTCCAAGCTTTGCAAGATTAAACGGTCGGAGTTGTACTTCTGAAAGAAAAACACATTGAATTGCACTTCCTTGTTCATGACTGAGATAGAGTTTGGGAAATACTTCAAAATAAATAATAACAAATAATGATCTACCTATTATTCCTTTTTGCAGCAACCAAAGCAGTTACAGTTATTGTAATATCAGTCTTTATGCAGTGTAACAATTTTAATTACTTTCATAGCTACATATATGTGACCTCACTAAATAGCAGAAGACAATCACTTTGCTTGTGCTGTTTCTCACGCTCTATTGTGAGTGTTTAGTCAACAGAAAGCTGAATAGGAGAAGGCTATGTCCCAAAAGCCAAGTGGTGTACAGTATTCCATTTAAAAAGAAAAGTAATGAAAAGTAGCCTTTTAATTACTGCTGAGAAATAAAATAAAACATTCTAACCATTAATTGTAACAGCTCCAGCTGCTTTGTTCACCTTTGAACAATAACTTCCGTGTGAAGCGTTGCTAGAAATACGGTACTGTTCTTAATGCTTTTCTGAGTGAGGAAATATCTATTTTGGGTTTTTTTTAGCTGTGTGGCTAATTTTTGGATAAAGAAAATTGAGTTCTATGTCCAGTTTTGATCATCTGTCGAATTGCTCCAAAGCACCAGCCTAGAATCAGTAATTGAAATCTCTTTGCAAGGAAAGAGATTTGGGTCATATTTTAGAAGAATTCTCCTGACAACAACCACTGTTTAATAGTAGAATAGGCTGTCATGAGAAACAGTGGCATATTTGGTAAAGTTATATGATGTAGAGGCCATATTTTGGGGTGCTTTGGTTGCAAATCCCATAGAATCATAGAATCAAAGAGTTGGAAGAGACCTCATGGGCCATCCAGTCCAACCCCCTGCCAAGAAGCAGGAATATTGCATTCAAATCACCCCTGACAAATGGCCATCCAGCCTCTGTTTAAAAGCTTCCAAAGAAGGAGCCTCCACCACACTCTGGGGAAGAGAGTTCCACTGCTGAATGGCTCTCACAGTCAGGAAGTTCTTCCTCATGTTGAACAAGAGGCTGATTAGATGACCTTTAAGGTCCCTTCTGACTTTTCCTCTTTATTCTAGGAAAATGAATGGGTTGAAGCAGGATTTTATGCTATCCGAGAGTAGTAATTTCCTCTCAGATTCTGTGCAACTGTTGCATTCAGTGTAAGCCGCAGTTACCATAAATAATTAGTTTACTAGGAAGAAAAATCAGCAATCTTTCTTAAGATATCTTTTTTAGGCCCTATGAATCCAGTGATGCAGATTGTGCTGTGTTGTTGAGTGATGTCCAAACTTGTCAATGTTAGAGAAAGCACAACAAAACCTGAATGGCAGTCTTAAATTAGTAGTGTCAAGAAAAATGGTCTGCCTTAAATTAGAAAGATTCACCAAAGCACTGTTTTGGGTGAGGTTGGCAGAATGGCTCTGCATTTTTGATCAAAAATATCAACAGTTTGAATTCACATATTAAATTGAAATCCAAAAAAACTATAGTATATACTTTCCTAAACCCATTCCCTTCTTTAGAAAATAGTTAAAGTGTGTCTTAGTCTGGGCAGAAGCAGGTTAAAACAAGGTCTTTTCCTAACCCGTAGTCTTATTAGCGTCAACAAAGATAAGTACAGACTGATGTGATATATTCTCACAGCTGACACTTCCCTCTCAATATTTAATTATAAGAATATTCCATTAGCTTGAAACTGAGTAGAAGAATATTCTTGCTGTGTATTTTTTAAATTGTTGTCATTAGAATTTTATATCACAAAATTTCCAGAATATAGGGTACACATTTTTAAAGCAAACACAGTGTCAAATACCAACTACACTGTCCAATTTTAAAATATTCTTTCTCTAGAAACACTGTAAGTGGTCTCGTGTATGAAAATTTTCAGACTTAAGCTAAAAAAACCCTGATTGATGTTGAAACAATTTCTACCTTTTTCAAAGTTACCTTATAGAAGGCAAGGTGTAATAAATTCTTGAGGGAGAAGTCACCACTTGTGGATAATCACTGGTTCAGAGATAATCACTTGTGGATAATCACTGGTTCAGAGATCTTACAGGCAAGGAAGAGGCAGAGGCTTTTCATGAAGTCAAAAGTTTACGAAAACGGCTGACAAAGATTGATGAATTAATTGAAGAGGACAAATTGATTAGGCTGATAAAAAGATAAATATTTGTCCAATTTCAATCAAAATTTGGGGTTTATTGATTATAATAATGATGGGGAGTCATTAATTGTGGGATTTATAAGCTAGTATGTTATCAAATGTAGAAGTATGATTATACAGTATTCCTTAAAGAGAAATAATAGCCTGATTTTTTAAAAAAACATCAGACATAGAGATTAGATTTTATGTTTGTTAGTCTTGTTTTAGTATGTATGTTTTGTGTGTATCTCTGTGTATTGGTTTATTTTCTGTGTTTTTGTGCTTTTGTGTTGTCATTTGTAATAGGTATTTGGTTATATTGTAGTAGCATTAGTTAGAAAGTAGTTCAGTATTTTTTTTCTTAAAATTAACTAACTTTATAATTTGCTTATTCATTTTATTGTAGTTGGATTTTTTCCCCCTTTCAGTTAAAATTAGTATTCAAAAATAAGTACTGGTGGCTGCTCTGGCTCTGAGAAGTGGCTCCATAAAGCCAACACAGTTTTAAGCTATGGCAGTAGCATCCAAGACCGTGCTTTGGGGACTGTGTGGCTCTTTAGATGTTATTGCACTGTAGCTCTCATCAGCCTTGGCTGACTTTTCCAACAATGAAGACAATGGGAGGTTTAGTGAAGTAACATCTGTAGGGCCACATGTTTCTATAGCATTGTCTACTCTGTTTTTCAGTTTGAAAACTAAAGTATCAAAACACTTTTTGTATGTTACACTTTCTTTCCCAGTGCTTTCTTCATACCACTTTCTCTGTTCCTTACACAGTGTCTAAGAATTTGTAATACTGCACTTTTGAGTATCATAATATTGCTTTGTGTTGTCATAATTGCAAAAGAGCATGCCTTTGATAACGAGGATGGTCATGAATGTATTTAGATTACTAGGCCTCTTCTCTAGCTGAGACAGTGTACAGAGAAAGCAGTGCTACCGTAGTTCCCTGGAAATAAGACAGTCTTATATTATTATTTTCTCCAAAACACTAAATTCAGTCTCATTTTCAAGAGACATCTTATTTTTTCATGTATCAAGTGTGCATGTTACTCATGTATTTTGTCTGTACTCCTATTC